AAGAATTCCAAACCGGCAAAAAGTGTATCTGCAGAGCTCCTCTATTTCTGACAGTTCTCTGACAGCTCCTTCACATGTACAGCGGTTGAAACATTGTATCTGTTTCCGAATAAAAACATCTGTATCCTGAATGGAAACAAATAGATACAATGTTTCAACCGCTGTACATGTGAAGGAAATGTCAGAGAACTGTCAGAAATAGCGGAGCTCTCTGCAGGGACACTTTTGCCGGCTGATCGGGAAAAATCCGATTCGCGCACCCGAATTATGCAAATATTCGGATTCGACGCGAATCAAATTTTTCCTGAAATTCGTATCGAATTCCACTTCGCCTGGTTCGATTCGCTCATCTCTAATGAATATAATCACAAATAAAATGTTCATTTTTAATATTTCGTTGAGAATCCTTTACTGGCAATGACTGGCTGAAGTCTGGAACCCATGGACATTACCAAAGACTGGGCTTCCTCCTTTCTAATGCTTTGCTAGGTTCTAACTGCAGCTGTCTTCAGTTTGTTCTTTGTTTGTGGGTCTGTCTTTAGTTTTGCATTCAGCAAGTGAAATGCATGCTCAATTGGGTTGAGATCAAGTGATTGACTCGGACATTACAGAATATTCCACTTCTTTTCCTACAAATGCTCCTGGGTTGCTTTTGCAGTGTGTTTTGGATTATTGTCCATCTATACTGCGAAGTGCCGCCCAATCAATTTGCTGCATTTGGCTGAATCTGGGCTGACAGTATATCTCTAAACACTGCAGAAATCATCCGGCTGCTTCTATCACATCATCAATAAACACCAATGACCCAGTGCCACTGGAAGCCATGCATGCCCATGCCATCATACTGCCTCCACCATGTTTTACAGATGACGTTGTGTGCTTTGGATCATGAGCTGTTCCAAGTTCCGCAGTTTTTTCTTCCTTTGATTCTGGTACAGATTAATCTTAGTTCCATCCGTCCACAGAATGCTTTTCCAGAACTGGTCTCGCTTTTTTTAGATGTTATTTTGGCAAAGTCTAATCTGGCTTTTCTATTCCTCAGGCTTATGAATGGTTTGCACCTTGTGGTGAACCCTCTGTATTTGCTCTCGTGAAGTCTTCTCTTGGTTGTAGACTTTGACAATGATACCCCCACCTCCTGGAGAGTGTCCTTCACTTGTCTGGATTTGTGAATGTGTTTTTCTTTACCACAGGGGATCCTACGATCATCCACCACTGTTGTCTTCCATGGACGTCAATGCCTTTTTATGTTGCTGACCTCACCAGTACGTTCTTCTTTCCTCAGAATGTAGCAAACTGTTGGTTTGGCCACTTCTAATGTTGCTGCTATCTCTCTGATGGATTTGTTTAATTTTTGAAGCCTTACAAATGGCCTGTTTCACTTGCATGGATATCTCCTTTGAACGCATGATGTAGGTTCGCAGCAATAGATTTCAAATGCAAATACCACACTTAGAATCAAATCCAGACATTTTACCTGCTTAATTGATGAAGACATACAGTGGGGCAAAAAAGTATTTAGTCAGCCACCAATTGTGCAAATTCTCCCACTTAAAAAGATGAGAGAGGCCTGTAATTGGCATCATAGGTAGACCTCAACTATGAGAGACAAAATGAGGAAAAAAAAATCCAGACAATCACATTGGCTGATTGGGAAAGCATTTATTTTCAAATTATGGTGGAAAATAAGTATTTGGTCAATATCAAAGTTAATCTCAATACTTTGTTATATATCCTTTGTTGGCAATGACAGAGGTCAAACGTTTCCTGTAAGTCTTCACAAGGTTGGCACACACTGTTGCTGGTATGTTGGCCCATCCTCCATGCAGATCTCCTCTAGAGCAGTGATGTTTTGGGGCTGTCACTGGGCAACACGGACTTTCAACTCCCTCCAAAGGTTTTCTATGGGGTTGAGATCTGGAGACTGGCTAGGCCACTCCAGGACCTTGAAATGCTTCTTACGAAGCCACTCCTTCGTTGCCCGGGCGGGCGGTATGTTTGGGATCATTGTCATGTTGGAAGACCCAGCCACATTTCATCTTCAATGCCCTTGCTGATGGAAGGAGGTTTGCACTCAAAATCTCACGATTCATGGCCCCATTCATTCTGTCCTGTACATGGATCAGTCGTCCTGGTCCCTTTGCGGAGAAAAACAGCCCCAAAGCATGATGTTGCCACCCCCATGCACAGTTCACAGTAGGTATGGTGTTCTTGATGCAACTCAGCATCTCTCTCCTCCAAAACACGACGAGTTGTGTTTCTACCAAACAGTTCTATTTTGGTTCATCTGACCATATGACATTCTCCCAATCCTCTTCTGGATCATCCAAATGCTCTCTAGCAAAACGTCAGACGGGCCCGGACATGTACTGGCTTAAGCAGGGGACCCACGTCTGGCACTGCAGGATCTGAGTCCCCTGGAGGCGTAGTGTGTTACTGATGGTAGCCTTTGTTACGTTGTTCCCAGCTCTCTGCAGGTTATTCACTAGGTCCCCCCCCGTGTGGAATTTATGATGTTATACATGGGATTTTTTGCTCACCGTTCTTGTGAAATCATTTTGACCCCATAGAGAGTGAGATCTTGCGTGGAGCCCCAGATCGAGGGAGATTATCAGTGGTCTTGTATGTCTTCCATTTTCTAATTATTGCTCCCCGCAGTTGATTTGTTCACACCAAGCTGCTTTACTGCCTATTGCAGATTCAGTCTTCCCAGCCTGGTGCAGGTCTACAATTTTGTTTCTGATGATTTGTTCTCCTTCGACAGCTCTCTGGTCTTCACCATAGTGGAGTTTGGGAGTGTGACTGTTTGAGGTTGTGGGTTGGGACAGGTGTCTTTTATACTGACAAGTTCAAACAGGTGCCATTGATACAGGTAATGAGTGCAGGACAGAGGAGCCTCTTAAAGAAGAAGGTACAGGTTTGTGAAAGCCAGAAATCTTGCTTGTTTGTAGGTGACCAAATACTTATTTCCACCATAATTTGCAAATAAATTCTTTCCAAATCAGCCAATGTGATTGTCTCTGGATTTTTTTTCTCATTTTGTCTCTCATAGTTGAGGTCTACCTATGATGCCAATTACAGGCCTCTCTCATCTTTTTAAGTGGGAGAACTTGCACAAAATTGGTGGCTGACTAAATACTTTTTTGCCCCACTGTAATAATGAAGGTGTAGCCCACACTTGGCCATGAAACAGCTTTTGATTCAATTGTCCAATTACTTTTTGTCCCTTGAAAAATGGGGGGACGGCTACTCCTAAGAGCTGTAATTCCTAAACCATTCCTCCAATTTGGATGTACATACACTCAAATTAACCTCTTCCATACAGGGCACTTTTAACCCCCTTCCTGCCCAGGCCAATTTTCAGGTTTCAGCGCTCTCACACTTTGCGCGGGGGCCATACAACATTGTACCCAAACTAAAATTTTATCATTTTCTTCACACAAACTAGAGCTTTCTTTTAGTGGTATTTAATCACCACTGGGGTTTTTATTTATTGCTAAATTAACAAAAAAAGACCAAATTTTTTTTTCTAAAAAACACATTTTTCTTTGTTTCTGTTATAAAAGTTTGCAAATAAATACCGTGTATACTCGAGTATAAGCCGACCCGAATATAAGCCGAGGTACCTAATTTTACCACAAAAAACTGGGAAAAACTATTGACTCGAGTATAAGCCGAGGGTGGGAACACCAGTGGGAAGAATCGTGCCTCATCATTGGTGTCAGTGGGAGGAATAGTACCCTATCATTGGTGTCAGTGGGGAGGAATAGTGCCCCATCATTGGTGTCAGTGGGGAGGAATAGTGCCCCATCATTGGTGTCAGTAGGAGGAATAGTGCCCTATCATTGGTATCAGTGGGAGGAATAGTGCCCCATCATTGGTATCAGTGGGAGGAATAGTGTCCCATCATTGGTATCAGTGGGAGGAATAGTGCCCCATCATTGGTATCAGTGGGAGGAATAGTGTCCCATCATTGGTATCAGTGGGAGGAATAGTGCCCCATCATTGGTATCAGTGGGAGGAATAGTGCCCCATCATTGGTATCAGTGGGAGGAATAGTGCCCCATAATTGGTGTCAGTGGGAGGAATAGAGCCCCATCATTGGTGTCAGTGGGAGGAATAGTGCCCCATCATTGGTATCAGTGGCAGGAATAGTGCCCCATCATTAGCATCAGTGGGGGGAATAGCACCCCATTATTGGTGTCAGTGGAATAGTGCCCATCTTTGGTGTCAGTGGGAGGAATAGTGTCCCATCATTGGTGTCAGTGGGAGGAATAGTGTCCCAACATTGGTGTCAGTGGGGGGTGTAGGGAAATATGAGCTAGGGCTACTGATTCAGGTATACCATTTTGTATTCATTATGCTTGCATTGTGATAAGAGTTAGAGTGATGCTTTAAGTAGATGATATTATTATGTCTTAAGTAAATGTTATAAGACATGCCAGCATTATTTTCGAGCTTATATGGAAAATTTTAAATGGTATATGTATGTAACAAGTACAACCACAAAGTGACAGGATGGACGCCTAGACTGCAGGTGTCTGCAAAATATCGTACAAAACATAGATAGATGTTCAGATAAGAGATCTGGGAACACAGCCAAAAATGGCAGGATGTACTGACTGAGGTTAACATTTTAACAGTTTAAGTAAAAGGTGCACCTTGTCTAGTATCTGGGTAGAAGTTAAAGGTACGCTTTACTATTGGATAAGTTAAGTTTGTCTTACTATTGGATAATTTGGGTTTGTGGTTTTTGCCTTTATAAGCTGTAATGTACGTAATAAACTTTGCAATCTTCCTGTATCCTACTTGAGTGTTGGTTATGTTGATTGCCCGATCACGATCGAGCCCGTGCCACACCCAGACGCTGCGCAGCACAGAGATAATATAGAAATAAGAATATAAGGATTCCAGGAAAGGGGGAATTTCCTTACAGCTGGTACCAGAAGTGGGGTCCCGCTAATCCAGGTGAGTAATATCGTTTCAATATACCTTTGATATATTATGATATTGCTTTCTCTGGATACGGTGACGTCTCACGAGTTAATGTAGTGAAACTGAAAGTAGTTTAGTGTTTTATGATGGAGGGGTTCTGTTCTCGCTCCAATAGTGTAGTTTTAGTGTTTTATGATGGAGGGTTTCTGTTCTCGCTCCGTATAACAGAGGTTTTGTTTTAAACTGCGGGTAGGGTCAGACTCGTTCTCCGCAGGTTTATCAGTTCTGTGACAGTTTAGACTGTACAGACATGTTCAGGCTCAATATAAAGGAAAAGAAATAAAAGAGGCAGGGAAATACAAAACGGAGCTAAGTTCCGTTTTTAGGGAAATGTCTGAGGTGTGCCGGTGCTAATTGTATATAAAAGCAACGTTGTATTGTGGATAATTATTTTGTTAGACGTTTGAAGTAAGAAATCAGGCGTATTGCAAGAGTAACGCGTTACTGGTGTCCATATTGTCTGCAGTCTCATGATTTTTACTGATATATTGTATATAGGATCTATATAATTACCCCGTGTTATTGAAATGTTGATTTCATGATTTCATGTATGTGTATATTGATGATCTGATCTATTGTATTCAATTTCTATCGAATTGTTTTCTAATTGATAAGTAGATATGGGAAATAAGTTGGGCAAGGATGAGTCTGAAGGTGAGCAGACAAAACCATGTCCTTACATGTATATGGCGGACACCTGTGGGGAATATTATGTAGACCCATTTTGGGAATTGGTGAGGAAAAGAGCAAGCCAACTTGAAATAAGTTGTTTGGCCCCGGCGGGTCCTGGCTCAAAGCAACAGTGGGAGGAGGTAAAGAAAATTTGTGGGGTACATCCAAAACATAATTACCCCCCCCCGGTGTCTGGGATGAAAATTATATGAAAAAACGTTTTAATGTTTAATGTGAAAAAGCACTGAAGGAATATAGAAATAGATTTCCCCTGACTTCCCACATATATGTGAAAAAGACGGTACCTCCAGCCTATGACAATAGTGTCCTCATACCTGACCTACCACCCCCACCTACTCCGACTGCACCCCCGCCCTACGTATTATACTCAGCGGAGAAGGAGACAGACCATGAGAAGCCTAAAACAAATGATCCGTTGACTATTTATCCGGATCTGGGTTCACTGACAACTGCAGTGGTTATTGGGACAGCAGTAGAGAAAGACGGACAGAGAAAGGAAGATGAGGAAGAGTATCAAAGGTGGAGAGAGAGAAGGAGAGGGAACAAACAGAAGATAAAGAAAGGGAAGCCGAGCGCCAGAAAGCATTAGATGAATCTAGCAGAAAGGAGAAAATTTTGACTGATCAAAGGAAGGCAGATGAAACAGTAGAACAGATAGCAGCAGAAGACAAACTTGTAGTGGTTGAACAGAAAAAAAAAAAAGACCCTAGAAATCAAACATAACACTTCGACTGATTACAGTAGGGGACACAAAGGTACAGGTACCCTTACCAGGGGGAGTGATTAAGGATCTTAAATTCTTGTGTCCTAACCCCAGATGACATACTCATTGCAAAATTAACCTTTGCAGTCCTGCCCATGTGCCCAGTTGCGTTGATGGGTAGAGAATTAATGTCTGAGCTCATGATCAGCATAACATTTGACAATCAAGGAAGACTGACAGCTAAGTCTAAGATGTGTGAACTGACTAATCCAAAGAGAAAGGACCATATAGGACTTTACATGCTTCTACCAAATGACCTGACCTCCCACCCAATTTGGGCGGAGGACAAAACTGCAGTAGGCTTTGTAAATTGCACCCCTTACAAGCCAAACTTAAAACAAGACGCGGTCCCTTGTTTTCAAAAACAGTATCCCCTGTCTGAAGAAAAGATAGAGGGTATAAGACCAGCCATACAAATTTATCTGACATGGGTGTTCTCAGACCGACAATAAGTCCCTGGAACACACCTATTAATCCAGTAAGGAAAGCAGATGGTTCATTGAGGCTAGTCCAGGATCTCAGGAAGGATCAGGAAGGTAAACAAGACAATTATTCCCTACCTCCATTGGTAGCAGATATTACGGCAATTTTTGGGGCTATTCCCAGCAGCTCGCGATTCTACACTGTAATAGATCTGTCCAATGCTTTCTTTAGCATTCCGGTTGAAGTAAATGCCCAGAACATGTTTGCTTTCCAATGGGGCGGTGGTCAGTTGACCTGGTCTCGTCTTCCTCAAGGCTATGGGGATAGTCCTGCTGCTTTCTCAATGGTATTGAAAGCATCTTTAGACAGTTGGGAGCCAAAGAGGGGATCCACCTTACTCCAATATGCAGACGACCTAATGGTCAGCCATGAAGACTGTGAGGTAGACTCAAGACACTTGCTAGATTACCTAGCCGGAAAGGGCCATTTGGCCTCAAGAAAGAAGATACAATGGGTACAGGAACAGGTGGAATACCTGGGTTGCCTGATTTCAGGAGGAGACAGGTCTGTCTCCCCAGCCAGGGTAAAAGCCCTAATGTCCCTCACACTACCAACAACCAAGGCTGCAATGATGTTCCTTCCTTGGGTCAATAGTGTATTGCAGGCAGTGGATACCTGACTGTTCCCACTATGATTCGATCCTCAGGGATACAACAAAACAAGAGGCCCCACAACAGATAGAGTGGACCCCGGAGAGGAAGGAAGCTTTTGGTAGACTGATCAGATCACTGACTAATGCCCCAGCCTTAGCACTACCGGACTATGAGAAGGAGTTTCAGCTTTACAGTGTAGTGTCAGCGGACGCATTTGCAGCCGTACTCACACAGGAACACGGTGGGAAAAATAGACCAGTGGCTTACCTTTCTAAGAAGTTGCCTTGTGTGGTTTTGGGCATGCCTCATTGCCTTCAAGCGATGGCTGCTTGTGCAATGGCTGTAAAGGATGCAAGTAAACTGACACAGGGATCACCGACTGTGTTATACACCACACATTCAATAGCAGCGCTATTGCACAATATGACGACACAGCACATGACAGTACAGAGACTGAGTGGATATGAAGTGATCTTACCCAGCACTGTCAACTTGCAGTTTAAGACTTGTCCGAAACGGCTCCGGTGCTTGGGGTTGCTACACATGCTACTAAATTTGGGTGAGACGGGAGGAGAAATGGTGACTATACCCCCTCTACATGACTGTGAGGAAATGGTGTTAGACAATACTTCACCCAGAGATGATCTAAAGGACATACCCCAATCGGGCAGTATAGATGTTTTTTGCTGATGGCAGCTGTGTCAGACCAGATGATCATACCTACCAAACGGGTTATGCTGTAGTGATGCTACCAGACATAATCATTGAAGCCAAACCGCTTCATGCTAATTCAGCACAAGCAAGCTGAGTTAGTCGCGCTAACGCGCGCCTGTCACTTTTTGCTGACCAAAGAGTGAACATTTACACTGACAGCAGATATGCATTTGGGGTACTACATGATTATAACATGATCCGTTAGCCAGAGGTAACAATTTAGCAGACAGAGCAGCAAAGGAAGCAGCCGCGTCATCCACACCCACACACAACATGACATTGTTTATGCAAGATTTCAAGAACTCATGAGCAGGACAATAAAAGACAGACTGAAGAAAGCCACAGGGGGAACTTTAAAGAACTGGCTGCTATATCTCCCTGCAGTTCTTTACCAAATTAGGACCACCCCTAATAAAAAGACTGGACTTTCCCCATATGAAATACTGATGGGTAGACCACCAAATGACTGCCAAACCCCAGGTGACGAAACTAACTTTTCTGCTTTACAGGAGGAATATGTAAAACATCTGGTAAGTGTGTTATCTGAAAACCAAGAAAAGGTGTCTGTCACCTGTCCTCCTCTTTCCACAGATCCCACTCATCCATTCCTGCCGGGTGACAAAGTTCTGATCAAACAACTGGCTGCAAGGAAAAAGACGGGACCCATTTGTCAAGGCCCATTTGAAGTCCTTAAAGTCGCCAGAACAGCAGTTCTAACTGACCAGACTCCACAATGGATCCATGCATCGAGGTTGAAGAAATACCTGGAGATGAAGGACTCCCCAAGAGGTTCGCCAGAACAAGAGAACACAGTTTCTATGCCCCCCGACATCCCACCCCAGAACTCTTAAAACTGAAACTGATACCCCCAGCACAACAACAGCACACTTTTACCTGTTGGATGAATGGATACCCCACCCCATTGCATCCCACTGACCCACAGACATTGGGTTATACATAACCGAGACTGTTAACATACATATGATCAGTATGCTAGAAGATCCATCTATTAAGACACTGAATGAACCTTCATCCACTTAGTGCACATTTTCAGTTCAAAATGAGACTTACTGATGACAAATGAAAGAATCCTATAAGACATAGACAGCTTACATCCCAAAGGCCTCAAGACCCGGAGGAAGATGAATCTCAGGACAAAGGGGATTCCGAGATAACAGAGGACCCCCTTTTTCTTCTGACAACCAATCAAGTAATGGAAGGTGCCGAAGTATTCGGAAATGGTACCGGGGTATTGCAAAGATTTATAAAAAAATTAATTGCACTTTATACACTAGCACTTCTTTTTGCAATTTTTATTTATTTAAAGTTTGCTAAATGGGGAGTGGGTAAGACTATGAAGCTAGCAGTTAAGCACAAGAGCCCAGACTCCACCTCTCCAACAGACGGCTCCAGACTTGCTTTGTTTGGACAATCCAGAGAGGAGGTGTGGTATTCTGAGTGACCATGTTGAACAAAGGTTCAATATGATCAAAGAGGGGGTTGTAGGGAAATATGAGCTAGGGCTACTGATTCAGGTATACCATTTTGTATTCATTATGCTTGCATTGTGATAAGAGTTAGAGTGATGCTTTAAGTAGATGATATTATTATGTCTTAAGTAAATGTTATAAGACATGCCAGCATTATTTTCGAGCTTATATGGAAAATTTTAAATGGTATATGTATGTAACAAGTACAACCACAAAGTGACAGGATGGACGCCTAGACTGCAGGTGTCTGCAAAATATCGTACAAAACATAATAGATGTTCAGATAAGAGATCTGGGAACACAGCCAAAAATGGCAGGATGTACTGACTGAGGTTAACATTTTAACAGTTTAAGTAAAAGGTGCACCTTGTCTGTATCTGGGTAGAAGTTAAAGGTACGCTTTACTATTGGATAAGTTAAGTTTGTCTTACTATTGGATAATTTGGGTTTGTGGTTTTTGCCTTTATAAGCTGTAATGTACGTAATAAACTTTGCAATCTTCCTGTATCCTACTTGAGTGTTGGTTATGTGATTGCCCGATCGCGATCGAGCCCGTGCCACACCCAGACGCTGCGCAGCACAGAGATAATATAGAAATAAGAATATAAGGATTCCAGGAAAGGGGGAATTCCTTACAGGGGGGTGGAGGAATAGTGCCCCATCGTTGGTGTCAGTGGGGGGGAGGAAAAGTGCCCCATCGTTGGTGTCAGTGGGGGGGAGGAATAGTATCCCATGATTGGTGTCAGTGAGGGGTGGAATAGTGCTCCATGATTGGTGTCAGTGGGGGGTGGAATAGTGCCCCATCATTGGTGTCAGTGGGGGGGGGGGGGGGGAGGGAATAGTGCCCAATCGTTGGTGTCAGTGGGGGGGAGGAAAAGTGCCCCATCGTTGGTGTCAGTGGGAGGAATAATGCCCCATCATTGGTATCAGTGACACCAATGATGGGGCACTATTCCTCCCACTGACACTTGCTGCCCCTTGTTCCAGTATGGTGCTGCTGCAGCCAGCATATGTGGTTGCAGCAGCACCTAAGCACGGCACACTTACCTGCATCTCCTTCACTCGATTTTCGCGGGGCCGCTCAGCTCCTCCTCCTCGCCGGTGATTGGCCGCCTGTGTGCCTTTCCTGAGCTACAGTTCTGGCGGCCAATCACCGGTGAGAAGGCGGAGCCGAGCAGCCCGCGCGAACATCCAGTGGACGAACCGAATGAAGGAGCAGCCGCGCTTCCTGGACCGGATCGTCGTGGGACCGGAGCCAGGTAAGAGACAGCAGCCCCCTGCAGACGTTGACTCGAGTATAAGCCGAGGGGGCCGTTTTTCAGCACAAAAAATGTGCTGAAAAACTCGGCTTATACTCGAGTATATACGGTAACTGTTCTTCATAAATTTAGGCTGAGATGTATTCTGCTACATGTCTTTGGTGAAAATAACCCAAAATTAGGATGTATTTTTTTTAGTTTGTAGGAAAGTTATAGAGTTCACAAACTATGGTATAGATCTGAATATTGATCAATCCTGAAGTACTGACGACCAATCTAATTTCTTGAGGTCCAAGAATGTCAGAACAGTACAGATATCCTTCAAATGACCCCTTTTTGCAGAGTAGGCAGTCCGACGTATTTCATAAGAGGCATGGCGAGCTTTCTTAAGTTGTATTTTTTTTTGTCATAATTTTTCGGAAAATGAAAAAATTAAAAAAATTATTTTCACTATTTTTTTTTACATATTGTCACCAGTGCAGTACAGCGTCTTCATATAACTGGCATGGTGGTGATCAGGGACACTGACTGGTGACAGTATGAAAAAAAAAATTATAATTTTTTTATTATTTTTAATTTTTTAATTAATTTTTTTCTTTTTTTTAAAGATTTTTTTTTCATATTTCACTATGACCAAAGTAGTACAATGTTATCATAGTAACATTGTACTACTATGGGGAAGTGATCAGTATTTTTTTTTTTTTTTTTTTTTTTTTTTTACACAATTTGCTTATAGCAAAGAATTACTTTGCTATAAGCAAGCATTTACCTGAATGACATCGATTCATTCAGGGTTTTTTTTTTTGTTTTTTTTTTTTTTTTTTTTTCTTCTTGTGCTTAGCCGTAATTTGGCCACGGCTAATCACATGACACAGCTGGGCTGTGATTGGCCCAGCTTGTGCATGTGATCGCTGTGACCATTCACAGCTAGACGCACTAGTATACAATGGATGGCATGAATGAAGCCATCCACTGTATACAACTGTCGTGACCTGCTGTGATTGGTCACAGCAGGTCACATGGTATCGGCAACAGGGCCGGTACTTAGATCTGTCATCGGCCGTGTCCGAGGTACACGACCAGTGACAGGTCATGCCACTGCGAGGCTCTGCAGGCGCGCAAACCCGAAAGGACGCCATATGGTGTCCACCAGGGTTAGCTGCTGTTCTGATATGTAATAAAACCATAGCACACAAAGCTTCCTCTTCAGCCTCTTCCATCCATTGTACGGACCTGACAGCGGGGGGTTCTACACACTTGTCAGATTGTATATCTAACAAGGCGACTGCTGGCTGTCAGATGGAAGAGATCTGGTGGCTTTGCAGCTGCATTATCGCTTCCAACCCCCCCCTTGTAATGGCTGCCCCCCCATGTGAGTGTCCTGGGCAGGTGCTGTCATCTTCTTATTGATGACCCAGGAGAGGCAAGTATAATGTCACTTCTTGGTCCCATTTCACTGTCCCTGGCCAGTATGGCTGAGGAAGAATCTCATACAGAGTGATCTGCACTTTACTGGAGGACACGTGAGACATCCAGCGTCTTTTAGACTCTTAGTATCTCAATAAAAAGAACCTACCACAAAAAAAAAATCACCACATAGTGGACTCTTTGTCCCCTATGTGATGAAAAAATGTAAAAAAAAGGTAAAAAATTTAAATTACACCCAAGATCATAAATCCCCTCAAATGTTTGAGCCCCCACATACAGACATAAGCGTTGGACGCCTATGCACAAAAACATTGATTGCAATACACATTACAGTACATATCGCTGTGCACGCCAGACTGAGAGAAATCATTTTAGCACTGGAGCTTCTGCGTAACTCTAAACTGATGACCTATAGCGAGTTTTTAAAAGCATTACCTATGGAAAATACAGGGTACTATAGGGCAGGGATTGAAAAAGCCGCTTGCCAAATGCGAGGAGAAATCCTTGTGTGGCGAGCACAAATGGAGCGGCTCCACCTGCGTTCCAAGCCTCATTGTGAAGCTGAGTTCCGATTTCCGACTTCTTCTTCGGCACCGCAATTACACTGGCAGTGCTGCTGAGGTGACAGGTGCAGGAGAGGTCCGTTCTCCTCCGCTGAGAGGAGACACCCGCTCTCCACCGCCACAGGGGACACGAGACATATTATTATGTCTCTTTTATATATAATTATATATATTATATATAATAATATACCTAATATCTAATTATATGGAAGGATATAAAAGAAACATAATATTATATATTCATCTAATTATATATAAAAGAGACATAATATCATACCTAATATATAATTATATACAAGGATATAAAAGAAACATTATATTATATATAATTCTGTAAACTAAACTTACATCTTTAAAAGAGACTTTAGTTACTAAAGATGCAGGAGATAAACAAAAAAAAATACAAAATGTTTACTACAGTTTAAAGCTGGAAAACGTGATATTTTGATTGCACCCTATTGCTATTAAGCTATTGCTGTTATGTTTAAATTGATATAATAAAGCGATGTTATAATTGCAGTTTTTTTTAATATTTTTTGGACTCTTTATTCTAAAGAAAAATGTAATTTCATAAGCTTTAAGGGGGGGGGGGGCGGACCTGGGCAAGGTTGGGGGGTGGGGCAACTGGTGGAGAGTAAGGTTTGTGCCTGGCTAGTAGATCTAGACTGGAAATTTTAAGCCCTGCTATAAGGTGTGACCTAAAATTATCTTTAGTTTATTGTTTACTGACATTTTGTGCCAAATTGGGTAACATATGGAATTGGAACTACCACTATTGTATTCTCTAGTGAGTCTGGTTTAAGAAAATATATAATATTTGGGGTTTTATGCAATGTTCAGGGTTAAAGTGATTATTTTAACTACTTTAGTGCCGCTCCATAGCATAAATACTGCTAAAGGGCGGCAGCGGTGCGCAAAATCACGTGTATATATACGGATTTCACATTACCGGGTACGCACGCCCTACCCACGCAACCATTCACAACCTCGGCTGTCAATCACCGGGTCCCCAGCCAGTGATTACTCGCCGGTGCCCAGTAATGGCTGAGCATCTCCGACGAGGGAGGGGGTGGGGGAGAACAGTTTTTAACAAAACAGTTCTCTCCCCTGTCAGCTCCTGCACACTGTGAAGCACAAACACTGTGAAGCAGTTATAAAGGGCACACAGTTAACCCTTTGATCTTCCCACGTTAACCCCTTCCTGCCCAGTGCCATTAGTACAGTGTCAGTGCTTTTTATTACCGCTGATCACTGTATTGGTGTCACTGGGGATGTCAGTGACACCAAGTCAGTTCCCCCCCAGTGTCAGAATATCCGCCACAGTCCCACTATAAGTCGCTGATTTCTGCCATTACTAGTAAAAATCATTTTAAAAAAATCCCAGCATATATACCACCGATTGTAAACGCTATAACTTTCACATAAACCAATTAATTTACACAAATAAATTAAGAAACAATTTCCTGCGCTCAGAATGAGGCCCTCTCCCTATAGCTGCTGACACTTAACCTCCTACCAATGTGAGTCAAATCAATAAATAAATAAATAGTGCAGCGCTAAATACTAAAACAAACATACATATAAATAAATAAATATTCAAATCAATATATATCATATAAATGTGCAACAGTGCAAATAAAGTGTAACACGTGTATTACACCGGGAATCATCAATAGTGACCAAGTGATCAATTTTACTCAATACAGTGCAATCTGTGTATTCCCTCTACGGGAATATTCAAAGTGACCAAGTGACCTAACAAACTATATAACACAAAATACTCTAAAAGACGCCACTCTGTGTGAACATGTCCATATATATATATATATATATATATATATATATATATATATATATATAGTGTATCTCATACACAATCTTCATGCAAGTGTTGTCAAGTGTCCACACTGTGTATATCCAAAATTAGCTGCAATGGCCCCTCACCTCCTTACATCGACCCCGCAGGGTCAACTCGCTTTGGAAAACAGACACCCCTCTGGTATATCACAGGATCCTCCCCAGCGATGTATGCTCTATAACCAGCTTCCTCTCTGGTTCCTCCTTATACAGATCATACAGGGACACCTCTCCTCAAGGTACAAACACCACTCTGGTGTATCTCAGGATCTTTCCAAGCGCTGTATACTCTATATTCACATTCCTCTCCGGTTCATGCATAAACAGAAGACTCCCATAGTGTAAAACCGCATTTATTGGGTAAACTATACATAGAGATATCTACTCACATGCTCCTTCATCTTTCATGTACCATGTACACATATGGCTCCTTCACCTCATGCTATGCCTGCCTTGCATGGGTAATAGATATAGGGGTTTCAAATATGGCCGCCACGCCGGAAATGACGTCACCGCGCTTCCCAGAATCCTCCTCGCGCACCGACGCGTTGCATCACGCTGATCAAGGACCCTGAGGAAGTCACGTGATCAGCGTGACGCAACGCGTCGGTGCGCGAGGATTCTGGGAAGCGTGAGAGACAGAATTAAAAAAAA